TGGCGTGTAGTCAGAGACCGTACGAGCGTCATTGACGTCACTTTTCAAATTTGATTGATCGCAGGTGTCTAGAAGCTGTAACGCGCCGCTCCACGGTAGGCGTCATCACGTAGACCTGGATCACCACAAGTTCATTGCTTTAATTTAAAAAGATGCTGGTCATTATTTCGCGGCCCCAACATTCGGGGTGTTTTGCTTTATGGTTGCCAGATATGGCCCCTCTTACCCGAGGCTGCAATTAGACTTTTGGCCACTGACGCGTTCGAAGCGTTGCTTGTGTCCGGTAGGAACGTCGTGGGAGCAATGATGAAATTCGTCGTCCTGTGTTGGGTGCAGATAGTCGCGCTCTAATAGAAGTGATCGCTCTACATCGCCTCCGACGGCTCGATCATTGTGTTAGACTTTCAGTCTTTGTACCACGGTATCACTGATAATGTATTTTTTAATATTTCTATTGTAGCCGATGTATTTCCCCAAAGCTGCACTGATGTTGGTGCCTAGTCAGAATATGAAACGTCTGCGAACAATAATCCCAGGCGGGAGGACACACTAACACCAACAAGCTTCCACATCTTGGTGAGCACAGGTTCTTGTAACAAAATACGAGAGACAAGAAAAAGATGGCAATTGATTACAATCAACCGATAGCCCGTTTCATTTATTTCAAGGCTTACGCTCTCCCATGATTAGATTAAGGCATTCGAGGATTGTGGTAATTAGTGTCAGTTCTGTCGTATTCCGTTGTGGTTTCGTTCGCCAGATCGATCAGGGACATGTGTGTGGAGTTCAACTGTTCAGCTTCACGTCCTAAAGACGAAGTAATAAAATGATTTGTCAACCATCTCTGATTGTGTAAAATGAAAGCCTCCAAACTGGTAACATAGCATTTAGAGTCCTTCAAAAACGAGTGTTCAGTGTTTGAAGATCAAACGTTATATATATGTATTTATATATATTTATGTAAACCTACAAGCACAACCATATCACGGCTTTGACTCAACTGAATGAGTTTAGTGAGTACGCCGTAGAACTTGCCATTTTGTGCGTCAACACTGTAGTTGGTCGATGCATGTGTGGATATTATGAACAGACACTTTTATTGTTGCTTCCCTTCCAAACGCTGATGGACTCCTAGAGCCGCATCAGATATGAACGACTTCTGATGGTGACCCAATCGTTTGGTGACGCTTCAGCTCAATTGTTAAGTACAATACCTAATCCTTGTTNCTGCCGATACGCGGCAGACCTCAATCCCTAACGAGTTCATTGTATGCACCAAACAAGCTTATTGACTCACCCGCATCAGAGACCTCACGCTTAAGTCTCCTAGATTCAATGATTGACAAGGCTTCATAATCTCCTATTTATTTTGTGGTAAGCTACTTACAGAGCTACTTGAGAGCAACTTTTGCTGAGTCACAATCAAGCTGTTTGATGGAATGTCACAGAAGCAAAGGATGAGGGTTGGGTACCAAAGCAGTAGCCCACTTATCACTACCCACAAAACTCGATGCAAGTGGAAGCGCGGTCCTAATTATCCTGCTCGACAAACGATGCAATATGAAATTATGTTTCGTCTGTGTATGCAATAGAGTTGGATGAACAGATACTGCTAGGATGTCCGGCCAGTGAGCAGGAACACCATTAGGATTCTCATCCGAAGCCTTTAGTTCTAGCAATAACCTGGCTGAAAGACAGCTGGTAAAGCTAAGTGGAGGCCTTTTAGCTTGTACGAAAATGAGTTTAATTGGTGGAGGAGGATTCGATGATACTTGGACAGTATTCGAGACAGGACGCATGAGAATGGAGGGAGTCACTGCTGTTAGGACAATCATTCGGGATTCTCAATATAAGTGAATTTGAGTGGGAAGACTGTGAGGAAAATGGAAGGGGATTTATTCAAGCGTGATGACCGGTATCAATTCTGCCCAAACTTATTTTGTGTTGATGAAATGGATTCACAATTGTTTCTATTGAAGAATTAGGTTTTTTGATGCCAATTATTTGGAACAGAAGACTTCGTTTTTAGGTCAAAGCCGAAAGAAAAGCTTTTAGCTCCATGAATATTATATGGAGTAAAATCGTTTTTTTAGATAAACGTCAACCTAAGAATGTGATATCATTATAGTGATGAGTAAAGACAAGCGCAATAATTTTTGGTATCCCTCAAGCAACCGTTTGAGAGAAACCCTAGATAAAACAGGAGTGGGCTAAAAGTGTTTCGTGCACTATATTATTACCGTGCCCTCGAAGGATTTCTGGAACAAAATACCAATAAAATTTCCCTGTTTGTTTATGCTTCTTTAGCAGTTGCATTCGTTGCCATGAAGGTCGTCCTCTACAATTGGGGTTACTGCAAACCCCATATTTTTAAGAATTTTTAAGTTAGTGAAAATTACCCTACCTCATTTTTTATTACAATTAATGTTCCCGAGAGCCTCCGCATTATTAGCCACAGCAATGAAACTTGTTTTAATACCTAGATTCTAGGGTGAGTGGATTGAGGAAAGTTAAGCTTGGCCTACCCCACGTGTTTGTCTTCAGCCTGATCTACAAATCACGACAACGCGAGTGGTTGACTAAGATGCACAGTAGCTAGGTCATGGTAATGCAGCGGGTGTGCGAGTGGGAGAAAAGTTAATCCATTGTTGTTCCATGTACACAGCATTCAATTCACCTGGATCGCATTCCTCTTTTGGGATAAGGTAGTTCGCACTGGTTTTCTTTTCACCCTCCCAAATTCATCTTTCCGATCGCGATCGGCAAGTACATCGAATAGATTCATTTTTGATCGTATCTCTTCTGTTTTTCTCAACGTTCTTAAAGGCTAACACTTATAAATTGCCGTTGTCTGGGTTCCACAAACCTCGAGTGATAATCAACTTGGCAAAATATATGATCGTGGTGGTCGTTCAAGGTTTACTGGGCGCATGATGCACAGTAAAATATTAATGTCTTATTTAGGAAATGAACTAAGTTAATTCACGACCTTTTGTGACAATAATAGTTCATATATAATGAACGCATAGTTTCATCTTTCGTTTCAATAGAAAAAGACGGCTTAGTAATCAATCTCAGAATGGTAAATGGCATCCTGCCAAACAAAACGGATACCTCGGGTTGGTAGAAAACAAGACCCAGAACAGACTAACCTTATAATAGACGCGGCACGGGCAATAGGCTACACGTGCTCCAATTTTTTGTACTTCCACTTTGCGTTGAAACAGTTCTTCGTTATTAGCACTTCGCATAAAGAATTCAATCGGGTAGCGACGTTCAATCGGCACACGACGATACCAGTCGCGTAGATTATTGGTCAGTATTTTTGTATCGTTAGAATACTGTACACCGGTTTTGCCAATTAAATCATCCAAACGTGTGCTACATGTGCCCAGAGCATGTGGTACACTGCTGCAATGATCTTTTGATTTTCCACGACATGCATCTGGACAGTTGAGATGAATGTCCACATTTCGGATGCAAAGCGCCACACTAATGTATAGTGTAGAAAAGTGAGCATTTTTTTATAATTCAGTGCTATACCGGCGTAGAGAACATTAGATGCAATCAAATATGTTGAAAAAATGACGTGAAAAATAAGTGAATTCCCATTTATGTGTATGCTTGCTCATCTGTAGACCGATACAAGATAGCTGCATCAACGCTTTTAGATCATCATGGGGGCACGACTACTTTGAGATGAACATGTACGCCTGCTTACTCGTCAAAGGCTCTGACAACTGGTTTTTGATGGGTTAAAGTGGTTAGAATTCAAATTACGTGACTCAAAATGAAATGGAATAAAAATCTAGCCTGCCCCAACTAAAACACGGTCTTATATCAACAAATGAGCAGAATCACAAACGGCGTGATTTGCAAAAGGTTATATTAGCCACCTATAAAACATAAACCATAATGCAGTAAAAATTAACTGTAGAAAGTTTTTTCCTCAAAATCTTTAGCAAACTTTCCTAAAAATTGAATTCAAAACTAATAAAGATCCACGCATACAAACCCGAAGAATCCAGCAGATAGTTAATGGAACATTGAGCATTGTATTTTTCAAAAGGCATTACATCCCTCTAAGATGAAAACTGTGCAATTGTGCATTAAAATTCGGTCAAAAATGGTTATGAAAATCGGTTGTGATGATCCGTTTAGCATACAGTATGTCCAATTAATGCTCTGGCATAAACCATGAAATAATTGTTTTTGAGCGTCCCAACACAAAAATATTTATTTACCGGTATATTATGTCCAAGATGGCACGAACTGTGGCTGTATTTCGAGAAAGTGGTCGATTGTAAATTGTCTGCACCCAGGCCAAGTCATTGAACAAGTGACAATTCATTCGCATATACAATAAACTCCCAATATCATCTGGACTGGCTTGCAGCACCATATCCATTATGTCCAAATAGATGGGCATTTTCAGTATGCTTGCCGGAGGAACTTCCAAGTCAAGATTACGATCTTCAGGAAATCTACCACCCATCAACGTGGAGTAGTACGCGGCCGATGCTTCTTCAATCATGAAAACTCGTTGTGTTTGCAGATTAGGTGTACCGCGACATTTCCAGAACTGTTCAATTGACCATTTCTGTTGCTCAATAAAATAAACATAAGCTTCCAAAAAATTTAGAGTATAAATAAAGTAGAGAACTAAGGCAAAATATCTGGACCGAAATAACATTAGCGTGCAGACTGAAACACATAGACAAGAGAGTATCGCGCTAATTTTGAATGAGTTGCATCGATCATCTTGGTATGGCGATCGATCGCGTTGGATGAAGGAAATGACCAGTAACAAAACGTCGAAGATCTATGGCAGTTAGTAAGAGAGAGTGAGTGTGTGCGGAGGGCACGGGAGGGGAGAAGAACACTACACATGACTATATATATGTCCAAGAAAAGGGGAAATAGTCAACCACAAACCTAGTTGACTTTTCTACTATTCTTCACGATACTGGTTGGGATCTTCCGATTTCTCGAAGCGATTCATAGAACGGACAAGCTCTGATGAAAACGTACTTTGAGTCATTACTCCGTGTATTTCAAATCGCAACAATCAACACAGCTGTCAAGAAGACGCGGGGAAAAGAAATGTGGTTCCCAGTTTGTACCCTTGCTTGTGCAACACAGCACAACTTTATGTACAGAGGTATGAAAAGAATATGGAGAAATAAGTGAATTGTACAAGTGCCGTAGTGTGATAGGTGGTACAAAGAGAGTTCCGACTAGCAAACGAAACAATAATAGGGCCGATTCACCTAGGTGCGCAGACGTAGCAGCTGGGAGTACTTCGCGAGACAATGTCGACTACCACTTGAAACGAACGAATCGACAGTTACAGCCCGATGGACAATCCGCATCTAGCCAGAAAGATATCCACCGAATACCACAACGTCGGAGCTGTCGATCAACGTATCTCGCGCTACGACCGGGTCAAACTAATTGGAACGGCGCGCGGAAGAAGAGGAAACGTACCTGCCAAGTGCGGACCAAAAACAACAGGAATGGACTAACAGAATGAGGCGTGAATTATCCTGCCACGCGGTTGAGAATTGATTGTTTATAATCGAACGCATACACCGGTTGTTGTTGAATTGGATCAATAAACGTTTTGCCAGCCGACTCGCCTTCTGGTTACAAAAGGACGACCCCTTCCTCTCTATAAAGTGTTCAAAAGAGAGGAAACACGAACGCAGCTCGTTAGCAAGGGATGATCATTGTTCGTTATTTGATATAATGTGAAATGATTACATCTCCGGATGCAGATGTTGATGCTGGTGTGTTCTCCCAGCTGGAAATGTTGTTTGCAGCCCTTTCGTAGCCAGGCTAAGACACATCATCAGTCCCGAAGTTGCACTGATGATTTTTTGTGACATGGTTACCAAACATCTGCAGACAATACTTCCAGATCGAAGAACATAGTGTCGTAATCGTAGATGACTTTGTATAACTACCGAAACAAGTTCTGCCTGTTGAGGGTTGAAATAACCGGTGTGATTTTGCACGCTGTGACGTGGCACTAAATTTGGCGTTTGAGTGAGTTTTAAATTTGTGGAACCAGCAAACTAGCATGCGTGATATATATAACGTATGCAAACTTAAGACGATCAGCGTCCACTTAATTTTGTTGCGCGTTTGCCTCAATGTAGATATCTTTGTCACCATTTTTTGGAAACTACATTTAGGCCTGATATACGGAAGTTTTAACGGTTATCGAAGAGAATGAACACGAACAAGAACAAAGGATAAATTTGTGTTGAACGGGAATTGCACCCAGTAGCTTTGGGTTTATTGTGGCGCACGTGATTCTTCAGACGTGATGTGTCCAATGCAGGGTCTGAGGCATTGACAGTGGTGTTCGCGAACATGTCCAAGGGACCGCATAGGCATTTCATACCTTAAATGTGAAACGGAATATTTCAGGAGTTTGATGACTAAAGTAGCGCGTGATATATCAGTGACAAACAACTTACGGTTTCTTCAAAGAGCCTAATTTTGCCAATGACTACAATAATATCTCCAAGATAATCTCTCTCTCTCTGTGAAATGAAAACAAATTCTGGGAGCCATGCCCATTTGTATGGACCTGCCCACAAGAGTTTATCAGTCTATGCCCGTATTCGTTCGATGTGAAGCAGGAGGTATTTTGTTAGCTTCTGAACCTTCGACTTGGCTTGAGTATAATAAATGCAAAATTAATTAACTCAATATGACGGACAGCCATAAGGACGCAAATGGATTGAAAGCGGTACTGAATCATACATAACAATCATTGATAATGAGTACGCTTTTAAAGAGTCACATTCGACACTTTTGGGTATATATTGCTATTTGATTTATATGGTGCTGTAATTGACCGTGCTCTTGCTTTTCCTATGATCCTATCAAGAGCATTTACTCATGTCCTTTGAAAAATGCTCAATAGATTGAAAACGAACTTCATGGATTGCTGCTAAACTCTCAACGCCTAACAATGTGCAAGATGGTCAGATAATCGCCCTAGTTTGCGGAAGGGAAGGATAAAATATATCTCTATGGGAAAGTATTCTGCGGAGTTAATCCAAGATCGATGTCAAAGAGGTACACTGAAGACATTTTGATGATCAGCATTTGTGGTGGTCCGGTGGGTTAAGAGAACAAAAACGATTGGGGAATTGGGTTGAATGCTTTTGAAAAGAAGACCATTAATCAATCAATCAAATTAATTTAGATCTAGGTGTACGATCTTGGGGTAAACCATGATTTGTGGAGAATGGCCGAGATAAAACGCAAAGGGTTGGATTGAAGATGTTTTTTAACTTAGAACAAACTCCATTTCATCTTCTCCATCTAACTATTCTGGGTTTTCTTTTCTCCTACCATCTCTGAAACAAAGTAAAGCTGCGCAGCTTAGATATTTGTCCAAATGGAGTCTATGTATAGAGCAGTCACCAAAATGGATTTGCAAAATGTACCCAGGATGATTTCACTGTAACTCTGTATGTGAGTGTTAAACTCAATGTGATCTTTATAGCCGCTTAAAGAACATTTGTGACGCAACGGTTGTTGCCGTGGTAGTGATGATACCACCCTACCTTGGCGTGTGACGACCTACCCGTGTGTGGTGATCCAGGCCTACACGATGGCGCCTACCCTGGAGCGGTGCGTTACAGTTTCAGGACATTCGCGATCAATCAGGTTTGTATGCACGTGCATGGCTTCTGAATGCACGTCATTGGCGGATGATGCCAGCCAATCTAAGACAATGCAGACAGAAGCAAGATTATGCAAGCAGTACTGCAATATGATTGATGGAAGCCCGGATAGTCAATAATCTCCCCTTGTACACATTATTTAATCACCTTCATCTCTTCCAATAAACGAACTACTTACTGCCTGTCCTGTGGCCTTTTGCTCGCGTCTCGTTCTAGTGGAACATTGCAAATCCGTGCCATTGTGGTCCAGTGCTTCTGCGATCCAGTCCGTGATAGCTGTTTATCGATTCGGGTCCTGTAATTCATATTGTGTGGTTGGTGTTCCGAATTCCGTGCGTATTAGTACTACTACTACAATTATTACACGGTGCCCTCCCTCCACAAACTCATCTCATTGTTTGAGCCAGTCCACTTCCATATCAAATTCTATCATCTAACTTTACCTGAACACACCTTAACAAAACACAAATCACTCAACTCACTTGTCACTTGTTCAACTGACTCATTTCTTTGTTTGACATGATCATATAAATGCGCGTTTGCAGTCAAATGCGAACACGCGAAACTGATGGCTAATATCAGTTCTGCCCACAAATATCTCTTTCTGATGATATAAATTAATTTGAGT